CCTGCTCTGCGGGGAGCCTGCTTCTCCCTCTCCCCCTCCCCCTGCTTGTGTTCCCTCTCTCGCTGTGTCTCTCTCTGTCAAATAAAAAAATAAAATCTTTAAAAAAAAAAAAAAAACTGTTTTATAATGTCAAGCAACATATCATTGTTTTTTTCTTACCATTATCCCCATTTATTCTTATTTCAAATTCTTTGTAGAGTCTTCCTATGGTTTTCACAATTTCCTTCATGTGCTCTTGCTCTGGTGGCATCTCCCCCTCCATACTTTTATGGCGATTCAATATCCCAAACCCAACATCTGTCCAGTTTTCTTGTAAATGTTTAATAATCTTGAGAGAATCATATTTTGACACTAGAAAATCCCCAGTATACTTGTCTTTATCTTCATTCAACATCTAGAGAATGAAAAGGGGTGAGGAAATTAGACTATTATTCACTAATGATTTCATCAAAGTCTACCCAGATCCTTATTTCCCAATGACTGCCAATTATTTTAGAGTTATATGCCCTATTATTATTTGTTCATACAATTTTTTTCATGTGACATAATTTTATTTTTAAAATTAAAGTGGGGGCACCTGGGTGGCTCATTCGGTTAAGCATCTGCCTTTGGCTCAGGTCATGATCCCAGGGTTCTGGGATCGAGCCCCACATCGGGCTCCCTGCTCAGCAGGGAGCTTGCTTCTCCCACTCCCCCTGCCTGCCGTTCCCCCTGCTTGTGCTCTCTATCAAATAAATAAATAAAATCTTTAAAAAAATTAAAGTGACTTTAAATTCAGTATAATATCGTGTAAGATAACCCATATTTTACCAGTTGAAAATAATTATATTAAATCCTATATGGGTAAAAATGAATGACAAGCAAATAAGGACCAGAGAGCTGAGCATGTTTAATTACTACCTGCTTTGGTGAGGGTATCACATATCTGTTTACATGATCCCCACTGGACTGGGAAAGTTGCTAGAATGTATAGGTTGTGTTTTATTTGTCTAGCCCAGAGTCCAAGTCCTATAATAAAGTGCAATTTACATAATTGTGACCCAGATAATGCAAACAAATTACCCATGCTTCAAAAAGAGTAATCAGTACAGGGAAGCAATGTAGCAGAGCAATTAAGGGCAAGGATTTTGGGGGTGGAGAGATCTGGACTCATTCTGACTCCACCACTTACCATTTATAGACAACTTAGGCAAGTGACTTAACATTTCTAAGCTTCCCTTTTGCATCTGCGAGACGGGGATCATAAAACCTGCATGCGGCGGTTGCAGTGAAGAATAAGTACCATACTGTGTGGAAAGCACCTTCAGCCTGACAGCGTAAGTGCTTAATGAATGCGAATTACTATTACCCCTACGAAATAAAGCAGCATGATTTTTTTTCAATCTTACCTATGCAATGTCAAAATTACCAGATAAAGAGTAGAGTCACTAAACCTGCTATATATAAACAGGACAACAAACATCAATTCTGAGAATATTCTGCTCCCATCATTCCAAAAGACAAGAAAACAGCTTCCTTGGGATCTGGAGGAGACTTCACCCAGGCTGTGAGTCTGATACTCGCTTTGGAGGTATTTCTTTTTTTTTTTTAAAGATGTTATTTATTTATTTATTTATTTGACAGAGAGAGACACAGCGAGAGAGGGAACACAAGCAGGGGGAGTGGCAGAGGGAGAAGCAGGCTCCCCGCAGAGCAGGGAGCCCGACGAGGGGCTCGATCCCAGGACCCTGGGATCATGACCTGAGCCGAAGGCAGACGCTTAACAACTGAGCCACCCAGGCGCCCCTGGAGGTATTTCAATATCTTACATATTTTCCTTTGTCAGACTGCTATGACATTATAGTAATTTGATTAATGAAAGCTATTTTCAAAGCTCAAACTCTTTTAAGAAGATGTTATTAATAAACAAAGTGTAGTAAACACCTACAGTGGTATATTCTTCAGCCTTTGAAAGGAAGGAAATCCTGACACAGGCAACAAAACAGATGAGCCTTAAGGACATTATGCTGAAGGAAATAAGCCCATCACAAAGGGACAAATACTGTGATTCCAGACATATGATGTCTAGCGTAGTCAAATTTAGAGGGACAGAAAGTACAATGGTGGTTGCCAGGAGCTGGGGAAGGAGGGGATAGAGGGGGTTCTTGTTTCATGGGTAGAGTTTCAGTTTAAGAAGATGAAAAAATACTGGACGTGGATGGTGGTGGTGGGCGCACAACGATGTAAATGTACTTAATGCCCCTGACCTGTACACCGAAAAATGACTAAGACGGTAAATGTGATGTTATGTATATACTGTACCACAAGTTTTAAAGAGATGTTATGAATTTTAAAAGTCCAAGTTGTCCTTAAGAGAGAAGGCAGGGACAGGAGAGGCACAAATGTCACTTATATCTGACGTTTAGAGGAGAGAATCAGAACTACCCTCACTGCCACCCAAGTATCTTTTCCCAGTTTTTTTCTGGCAGCCTAACTTTATTTGCCTCAAAAATCCAAAATAGAACTGAAAATAAAATATTTAAGTGTGTTTTTAAAAGCCCCTGGAATCTTGCTATTTTCTTTGTCTTTCATAAAATGCAGTATGGCATTCTGGAAGGATGAGGTGTGACTCAGTTGTAGGTGACGAGTGGCAAGCTTACAAACGGCATTTTGATTACCAAACGGTTTATTATAAAGTCTTACCTTTTGCCACTGCTTGAAATCTGAAATAATGGATTCGAATATGTTTTCTTTACTAGGAGATGAAATGTCTTTTCTATTGGAAAAAGGAAAAGGAGCAAGAGCAGAGTCTCAGAACAATGTATAAACAAAGAAAATCATGAATCCATATACTACAGAACAATATTAGGTTTCTCCCGAATGATTTTCAAACATGCCTTCCATCCTCATATGCATTCATCTTTAAATTTGCAAATATAAATATGATTTCAGGCTCCAACCAGCCCTGAGCAATCAAGTTACAGGGTCAGAGGCCATGAGAGTATTAAAAGGGTGGTCTCTGGGTCTTTGCCATCCAAAATTAGATCATCTTAAGAGCAATTCGGTTGAATACAGCAGACAAAACAATTTGTAAATAGAAGGGAAGCCTAATAAATAATTAAGACTCAACATTTAGGTCAAGAGGCCCAACTTTTGGTAAGAAAGTTTCCTTTAGTATCTCTGAAGTCTCACAAGGAGAAAGCTCTTGATAAAAGGTTCTGAAGAGAAAGAGAAATAAGAACCCCTGTCCCACCTCAGCTCCCCTCTCAGCTAAGAGTCAACAAACAGTAGAAACAGGGATGGCAGCAGCCAACAGCTTGGATATGTACCAGCTTCAGCTTCCAGAACTTCCAACTCTGCTAACTCGGAAACCTTAGAGGATCTGAAAAACTGAAACCATCGTCCTCAATTTGAAATGGAAATGGTACCTAAACATGTTTCCTCAACAGACAAAGCATCTTAAAGTAATTAAAACCCTTAGAAATCACTGAATCAAGCCTGCATTCAAAGTCCAGATTCCCACTAACTTTGGCTGCGATTTAATCATCCCACCTTGACTTAACTACTTTATAGGCAGCTTGTCCACCGTCAGATTTCTCTAATTGTTACACAGTATAATATCCAATCCAAATCAATCACCTTATAATGGCCACCCATTGATTCTATTTCTCTGCATATGCACTATGTTACAGAATCTGCAGATGGATCTAGATATTCAGGGGCTCCAGTAATAATGACATAAGTTGATGTGATTTTAACAAGAGAGAAGAGAAGAGAAGAGAAGGAGAAGAGAAGAGGAGAGGAGAGAAAAGTAAAACAGCTGAACAGAATGGAGGCAGCAGCAGGTGGGTAGAAGGAGCAGGATGGACCACAGAGATGGTTAGCACCAGAAACCACAAAACCACTCAAGCCCCTAGCAGGACTGCAGCCTTGGAAGGGCTGTTAGTTGCCTGACCAAATCAATGTTAGAGTCATCACAAGAGAAAAGAGAGGCAGAGAAAAAGAGAGAAAGAATTGGATTGAGTTATCAGACATGACACAGTATAATCAAAAACAAGATTCTTATAGACCCACCCATCATTTCTGAAGAACTCCTGCCATGTGATAAGACCATCCTTAACAGTTTGTAATTTCTCCCTTGTAGACTCTTCATTTTGTTCCACTTCCTTTTTAAATCTATTCATTGAGCTTCTCCATTTCTGTGTCAACTTCTGCAATAGTGCAAGGTCTGCAGTGTCCTAGATAATATGCATGGAATCAAACCACTCATTCACTTATTCACATAACAAATACTTATTAGCATACACTAATAAAATTAATTAGTGTATTAATATCATAATACTAGAGACATCCATAGAAAATGGATCAAACTTGAGAAGATATTTCTCTTTCAAAATATCATCAGTAACACCACACAGTTCCTTTGCTGGTGAATTTTCCATGGTACATAAAATATTGGAAACAAGATATTTTTCCTTTGCAACATGAGCCCAGTTTCCCCACAGGACTTTCATGGGAGGTAGTGTGGTACATTGGAAAGAACAGGAATTTCAAAGCCAAACAAAACCAAATGTGAATCCTAGCCAATTATTGGCTATGTAACCTTATGGGATGTTATTCAATTTATTGGGATTAATTTTTCTTATCTACAAAATAAAGACCTTAATATATATCTCACAGAATTGCTATAAGAATGAAATGAGGGATGCCTGGGTGGCTCAGTCAGTTAAGCGGCTGCCCCCGGCTCAGGGCATGATCCCAGGATCCTGGGATCTAGTCCCACATCGGGCTCCCTGCTCAGCAGAAGCCTGCTTCTCCCTCTACCTGCTGCTCCCCCCCGCTTATGCTCTCTCTGACAAATAAATAAAATCTTAAAAAAAAAGTATGAAATGACTAGTGTAAATGGTACGACTCTAGAAACACACTAAATGCCACTTCTCTCCTTTTCAACCAAGTGTGCTCATTGAATTTTTGCATAAAATTGCATAAAATGCATCAAGAATACCACTATTTCAATGAACATAGCTACTTACATTTTTTTAATTTAAATACTAACAAATAGAATAAGTCTATAAGTAACATTTGCAGTATTATTAACTTAGATAAATTGCTTAATTGCTTTAATTAGGCTAGAAGACAAATATAAAGAAGAGCATTTATTCACATTTCCTTAGATTTTTCATTCCGCTCACAATAAAGCACAAATACAAAACTATATTTAAAATTTATAAACTTAGCAAAGGCTTCTTAAACCCTCAAAGGCTAGAGTCTCTCTTCTCATAACATAAGTAAATTGAGCTTTACCTTGGTTGACAGCAGTATGATGAAATGCTTAGCATATTTATTCCAACCTTTTTCATTGAGGTAAAGTCTTTTAGCCAATATGACTCTATTTTTTTCAATTACCTATTTGAAGAAAGTACTAAAATGAGGAATCTAAGACATTAATAAACCACTGTGATTTATTAAACCCAAACCAATTTCAAATATCAATTTTTCATTGAATCATTAATTCAATCACAATTTCTTGTTTAAATCATGACCTATTTGAATCATAAACTCATGTTTTCTAAACCTCCTAAACTGGAATCTAACTGAAGTATATAGCAGAGGTTCTTAAGCAACCTGATCTCAAAACCCTTTTATACTCTTAAAAATTAGTGAAGACTCCAAAGAACTTTCATTTATATGCATTAAATCTATTCGATAGTCACTGTATTGAAACTTAAAACTGAAATTATTTAAAATATGTATTTGTTAATTCACTTAAACATAACAATAAATCCATTATACATTAACATAAATGGTATTTTTATGCACTCATGTGCAAATGAGAGTGAAAAAGGTAAATAACGTCTTAATATTATGATGAAATAGTTTTCACCTCGTGAAAGGGTCTCATGTATCCCCAGGGGGTCCTTGGATCATACTTTGAGAACCACTGGTATCCTGAATCAATTATATAGTCATTCAATGAATGACTGTTCTAGACACTGTGCGTATTGCCATGAACAAAAGAAACAAAGTCTTTTTTTTAGGGAGGTGATTCTAGCTGTCATTCATTTCCTGTCGGAAGGGCCTTTAGAGATGAGCTAACACAAAGCCTCCACCAATTCAAGGTATTTTTCCACAGAAACCACTACAAGGGGTCAGTTCTCTATTGTTTAAATACTTCTAGAGTGAAGAAACTCACTTGTCTTCTTCTTGTTCCTATTGAACAGGCCTAGCTCTAAAAATATATTATACATTTACTGTCATGATTGTTTCCTCTTGACATGTCATTTTAAAATTCTGCATCAGATGAAACATTATATCCTAGATGAGATCTGACTATTCCAGAGAAAATGAGACAGAAGTTTGAATCTGTTGAGGGTCATAATTTGCTGTTAATACTTAATAAACACCAAGTCCCAGGTGTGAGAATAGGCAACCAACCAGCAAACATTTCAAAAAAATAGAATATTGTGGGACTATTCTATTTCCCTAAAGTATTACATTAGTGGCCCACAGACTGCCATATTTTAACTCATTTGTCATCTTAGATGCCAAGGTAATAGAACCAAAGTCATATAATCCTAATATTGTTACACTGTGTGAAAAAATACAAACAATTTTTCCTAGTTTATTATTAGTATAAATTTAACTTGAAAGTTTTAACATGTTCACAAACAATAGAAAAAGAATTCTTGCTCATACTTCATAGATTCTGGTGAGAAAAAGAGCCCTTAACTGGGCAATAGAGAAGTACTTAATAGAGAAGAAACAAAAGAAAAAATGTAACTTCCTTTTTGTAAGGCCCATAATAGCTACATTATTCATAAACTAAATATACATTCTCATTTTTAAAATTTTTGTCTAGATTACTGAAAATTGTAAAACAAAACTTTATTCAGTCAAAAAAGAAGTCTGAGTTATGATTCCAGATGAGCCAACCTTTAGGGCCAATTCATATGTGGCTGAGCTCCAGAGATCTCTTTCTGCCATTAACTGTTTAATATCACTCTCCATCCTTCCTCTCTGCAATGTGTATAAGTCATGGTATTCTTCTACAATCCTAAAAGAAAAATTAAAAAGTATATACAGACTTTGTTTTTGAGAAGTCACATTTATTGGATAATTGTTATGATACTGGACATTAAAAAACAACAACTTTGTTCTAAAATAGGCAATTTGTTCTTTTAAAATTCATCATAAAGTAATTATGGCATAATTGCTGGTACCCAGTGAAATAGAAGAAAAAATAGTCACATTTCATGTATAAATCTTACAAAAGTCTTAAAGTAAAAAATTCAATATATTGTTCCTTGCTCTAAATGCTTTTCTTCATATTGTTTATTCACTAGAATTTTCACAACATGGTATTGCAATAGAATAACAGCAGTATATCTAATTTTAAAAATCTGAATACAAAATAGAATTAGGATTCTTTATTAAAGACACAAAGCCCAGTAATTATGAGCCACTATACTTTTAAATTATATATAATTAATATGATTTAAAGAAATTCTCTACCAACCAACTAAAGATTAAGTATAATCAAGTAAGTACCTTTTTCTTAACTATCTTTTCTTCATGTTTACCAGAACATACCTTTTCCTTCCAACTTAAACTGAAGCTTAGAATTAAATTAGAATTAAAAGTGCTTCTGAGATTGAATACAAACAAAGAAGTTGTAAAGGGGTAGCATTTCACAAGCCATTTGAAACACCTCCTCCCAAGGAATATTAACTTTGCTGCAAGAATTAAAGGCCCGTTACAGGAATTCAGCAAAGTGGCAGGATATAAAATCAATGCACAGAAATCAGTTGCACTTCTATACACTACCAATGAGACAGAAGAAAGAAAAATTAAGGAGTGGATCCCATTTACAATTGCACCAAAAACCATAAGATACCTAGGAATAAACCTCACCAAAGAGGCAAAGGATCTGTACTCAGAAAACTATAGAATACTCATCAAAGAAATTGAGGAAGACATAAAGAAATGGAAAAACGTTCCATGCTCATGGATTGGAAGAACAAATATTGTGGGGTTTTTTTTTTTAAGATTTTATTTATTTGAGATTTATTTGAGAGAGAGCGCGCGTGCACACAAGCATGAGTGGGGGACGTGGGGGTGGGGAGAGGCAGAGGGAGAAGCAGGCTCCCTGCTGACCAGGGAGCCTGACATGGGGCTTGATCCCAGGACCCTGGGATCATGACCTGAGCCGAAGGCAGACACTTAACCAACTGAACCACCCAGGTGCCCCAAGAACAAATATTGTTAAAATGTCTATGCTTCCCAGAGCAATCTATACATTCAATGCAATCCCTATCAAAATACCATCAAGTTTTTTTCACAGAGCTGGAACTAATAATCGTAAAATTTGTATGGAACCAGAAAAGACCCCAAATAGCCAAAGGAATGTTGAAAAAGAAAACCAAAGCTGGTGGCATCACAATTCTGGACTTCAAGCTCTATTACGAAGCTGTCATCATCAAGACAGTATGGTACTGGCACAGAAACAGACACATAGATCAATGGAACAGAATAGAGAGCCCAGAAATGGACCCTCAACTCTATGGTCAACTCATCTTTGACAAAGCAATAAAGACTATCCAATGGGAAAAAGACAGTCTCTTCAACAAATGGTGTTGGGAAAACTGGACAGCCACATACAGGAGAAGGAAACTGAACCATTTCCTTACACCATACACAAAAATAGACTCAAAATGGTTGAAAGACCTAAATGTGAGACAGGAATCCATCAAAATCCTAGAGGAGAACACAGGCAGCAATCTCTGTGACCTTGGCCATAGCAACTTCTTGCTAGACGCGTCTCCAAAGGCAAGAGAAACAAAGGCAAAAATGAACTATTGGTAGTTCATCAAGATAAAAAGCTTTTGTACAGTAAAGGAAACAGTTGACAAAATCAAGACAACTGACAGAATGGGAGAAAATATTTGCAAATGCCTTATCAGATAAAGGGCTAGTATCCAAAATCTATAAAGAACTTATCAAACTCAACACCCAAAGAACAAATAATCCAATCAAGAAATGGGTAGAAGACATGAACAGAAATTTCTCCAAAGAAGACATCAAAATGGCCAACAGACACATGAAAAAATGCCCAACATTGGGGCGCCTGGGTGGCTCAGTCGTTAGGCGTCTGCCTTCGACTCAGGTCATGATCCCAGGGTCCTGGGATCGAGCCCTGCATTGGGCTACCTGCTCTGCGGGGAAGCCTGCTTCTCCCTCTCCCACTCCCCCTGCTTGTGTTTCCTCTCTCGCTGTGTCTCTCTCTGTCAAATAAATAAATAAAATCTTTAAAAAAAAAAATGCCCAACATTGCTCGGCATCAGGGAAATACTAATTAAAACCACAATGAGATACCACCTCACACTAGTCAGAATGGCTAAAATGAACAACTCAGGAAACCATAAACATTGGTGAGGATGCTGAGAAAGGGGAACCCTCCTACACTGTTGGTGGGAATGCAAGCTGGTGCAGCCACTCTGGAAAACAGTATGGAGGTTCCTCAAAAAGTTGAAAATAGAGCTACCATATGACCCAGCAATTGCACTACTGGGTATTTACCCCAAAGATACAAATGTAGTGATACGAAGGGGCACCTGCCTCCCTATGTTTATACCAGCAATGTCCACAATAGCCAAACTATGGAAAGAGCCCAGATGTCCATTGACAGATGAATGGATAAAAAAGATGTGGTATATATGTATATATACAATGGAATATTATGCAGCCATCAGAAAATGAAATCTTGCCATTTGCAACAACATAGATGGAACTAGAGGGTATTATGCTAAATGAAATAAGTCAATCAGAGAAAGACAATTATCCTATGATTTCACTCATATATGGAATTTGAGAAACAAAACAAAGGAGCATAGAGGAAGGGAGGGAAAAATAAAACGAGATGAAACCAGAGAGGGAGACAAACCATAAGAGACTGTTAATCATAGGAAACAAACTGAGGGTTGCAGGAGGGGAGTGGTTGTGGGGATGGGGTAACTGGGTGATGAACATTAAGGAGGGCGTGTGATGTAATGAACACTGGCTGTTATATACAACTGATGAATCACTGAACTCTATCTCTGAAACTAATACACTATATGTTAATTAATTGTATTTAAATAAATATATATGTGTGTGTGTATGTGTATATATATATATATTTTTTTTTTTTTTTTTTAAAGAATTAAAAGCCTGTGACATAGAATTCTTCTAATTTTGGTGAAAGCCAAGAACCACCAGCATCAGTTCTTGAAAGGCTTCTTTTTGGAGACTTCCACTTGTCCAGAGTACCTAATAAAAATTAATCACCCCAGGTGTCACATAGGTGAATACACATATGAAAATTCAACAAGTTATATACCCTTACAATTTGTGCACATTACTACCTGAAAGTAAGACGTTTATTTTTTTTTTTTTCAGATAGGCTCCACACCCATCATAGAGCCCAATGCAGGACCTGAAATCACAACACCAAGATCAATACCTAAGCTGAGATCAAGAGTTGGACACTTAACTGATCGAGCCACCCAGGCACCCCAGACAGTGATTTTAAAAAGAGAATCAATGACCCTTGCTTATAATAGCAAAGGAAAAAAATTCAGAAATAACCTCATGTCCAATAATAAGGGATTGGTCACATAAAATATATGATATAGCTCTATGATTAAAATGCTCTGCAACTAATTAAAGATCTTGTTGTTGTTAGTATTTTGGTACATGGGAAAATTTTTCATGTTTGTAACATGAGATAACCCAAATGGTAAAATTATATATTCAGTTTGATCTCGTTTATATAAAAAATACATAGAAGTCGATAAAAGAAAAATATATGAAAATATTAATAGTGTTTACCTCTGAGAGAAAGAATTATGGGTGCTTTTTTTCCTTACTTGTTTCTATTTTCCTAATTGTCAATAAAATAATCAGTTATTATTTTTTAAAATATTAGTAAAAATTTCTAATCACACACACACACAAAACCCATCGTACTTCAGACTTTCTCGATTTCCTTCCCTTTCTCTCTGGCTTTAGATGTTCTTATAATGGACATTAGCACAAAAGAAGTTCTAACTTATTTTTATTAATTCATTCAACAAATATCTGTTTAGTGCCTACTATATGCCAGGCACTATTCAAAACAAAATAAAACTTTGCCCTTATAAAGTTTAGTTGGAAGAGATAATCAACAAATAAAAAAGTAAAACATACTAAGTAGTGACAGTGCAATAGATAAAAATCATCAGGGAAAGGAGATTGAGAGCACAAAATATATTGTGTTTTAAATGGAGGGGGATGAGCAAAGGTCCAAAGGAAGGAGGGAGGAAGCTAGCAGCTCTTGGGGGCGGGGAGGGAGAAGAGGATTCCAGGCCCCAAGTGGGAGCCTGTCTGGTATGTTCAAGAACAGCACAAAGGCCGCAAGTCTGAATAAAGTAGGAGAAGTCAGAGAAATCCCGGTAGGATGAGTCTTGTAAACCATTTTTTAAAAACATGGCCCTTTACTCTAAGATGGGGAGCTATTACAGAATTTTGAGCAGAGAAATGACATTATTGGAGTCAAATTTTAAGAGATCATACTGAAACCACATAGAACTGTAAAGATGGATGGAAATTAAGATGGACATACTAATGTTTCAGCAAGGTTTGACTCCAAGTTGAACAAATTTTTCTCTTCCTCATTCTTGAAGCCCCCTCCCCCATTCACTTGTGCTTCTGTGGGATCCTCTGTTCCAGGAACTTGGTATGGATGTTGATACCTAGTAACCAGACTCATGGCCGGCACAAGCATCAGTCACGAGACCACCTTGAAGACATGAGGAATGTGGCTGGCAGCACATACCAGATTCCTAGTGAAACCGCCCAGAACCTGCATTTTCCTATAAAACTCTCAGCCTTTTACCCGGGGCAGGTCTGCAGTTTTGAAGGCATTAGCCTGCTCCGGCCTCCTTTGCCTGGCAAAGTAATAAAACTATTGTTCCTCTTTATCCCCAAACTCCATCTTCGGGTCGTATTTTGGCTCCAGAGCCCAGAGGTCGGTTTTCGACAACAATCTTGGCTGGTGTGTGGAGAACAGCCTACTGCGGTGTACACGCAGAAGTAAAAAGGTGATTCCGAGGTTACCGCAACACCGTAGCCAAGAGATGCAGATGGCAGGACAGAAGTGAGGAGGACTCGGCATATGTAGTGAAAGGTGACCGACTTTGCCACAGAGAAAGGTGAGATGTGAGAGAAAGAAAGGGATCAAGAAGGACTCCAAGAGTTTTGGCCCCAGAAACTGGAAGGATGGAGTTGCCATTAACTGAAATGAGATGAGTGTGGGAGAAGTAGTTTTGGGGAAAAGAACAGGAATTCGGTTTGGGAATGTTAGGTAGCTAAGAGAAGTGTTGAAGCCGTGGAATATGTAAGTCTGGAATTCAAAGAGAAGATTGAAACTGGGCGTACAAATTTGTGGAGAAGGGCGTAGATACATATTTGTGAGCTGAGAGTATACAGGTTGATGACATTGAAAGCCAGGAAACTGAAGAGATTTCGTCAGTGAATATAGATACAGAAAAGATCCATGGAATGCACACTCTACCATTTAGAAATTGGTGAGGGGCGCCTGGGTGGCTCAGTCGTTGAGCGTTTGCCTTTGGCACAGGTCATAATCCCAGCGTCCTGGGATCGGGCCCCGCATCGGACTCCCTGCTCTGTGGGGAGCCCACTTCTCCCTCCCACTCCCCCTGCGTGTGTTCTCTGTCTGTGTCTCTCTCTGTCAAATAAATAAATAAAATCTTAAAAAAAAAATAGAAATTGGTGAAAAGAAAAGGAATCTGCAAGGGATATCAGTAAGAAAAAGCAGATAGTAAAGGAGGAGGAAACTAGGAGAGTGTGATATACTGAAAGACATTGCTTCATGCAAGAGCAAGTGATTAGTTCTGATAAATGCGGCCGGTAAGTCAAGTTAAAGGAGAATTGAGAAGCGACCTTTAGATTTAGCAACATGAAAGTCACTGTTGAATTTGACAAGTGCACTTTGGTGGGGTGGGGGTAGTGAAAGCCTGATTGGAGTGACAAAGAGAGGACCAGGAGTAGACACACTGAATATGACAACTTTTTGAAGAAGATTACTATAAGCAGCAGGGGCGGGGAGGAAATGCGGCCATAGCTAGAAGGGGATACGCATGGATACTCCTAAGAGACTTAGGAGTCTTTTTGTTTTTTGGCTGTTGTTTTGAGATGGGAGTACTTATAGCATATTTGTATACTAATGGGACTAATCAGGAAAAGAGGGAAAAATTGATATGGGAGAAATAGGGAATATTTGCTGAAAATATCTTGATTAGGTATGAGATGATGGAATAGTACACAAATGGGAAGATTGGCCTTAGAAAGAAAGAGACAATTGGTCCACAGTAAAAGATGGGCATGAGTATCAGATGAGCACAGATGCAGGCAGGTGGGTAGATGTAGGGGTGAGAGCAGGAGTTCTCTTCCGTTTACTTCTGCTTTTTAGAAAGAAAGGTCATCAGCTCAGAAAGAGGATGGAGAGATACTATTAGAGGAATGAGGATAGAAGACAAAGTATAGAATAGTTTTCTGCTAAGACAAGAAGGGTGAATCATCTACAGAAAACAGCAGTATATTCAGTGCACAAAAAATGATCAAGGTACCCTTCTCATTCTAGTAAGGAATAAAATAGAATAAAAGTAAGATATCTCTGAATTTAGATTTTGTATACATTTGTGTTTTTCTTGATTTTTAAAAAAAATAGTTACTCTTCAACACATTTTTTTAAAAAGCAGAAGACTATGCTGAATTAAAAGGATCATAAAACAGGGTACAATGTGTGGCCCTAGACTGGATACTGGTTTGGACAACCCAATGTAAAATACATTTGGGGAATAATTGGGAAAATTTGAATATGACTTGGGTAATTTGTGAAGTGAAACTTTACTGAAACAGGTAGAGACTGTTGACTGAAAAAAAAAACAGGCTGTATAATAGTATATACAGTACAATTTAAAACAATGCATGTGTGCACATACACATAGGGAAAAAAGGATATACACTAAGGCATGTATAGCAGTAATCTATGGGTGGTGAAGCGGATATTTTTAATTCATTTTTGCTTGTTTGTATTTTCTACTTACAAGGCACATATAATGCTTCTATGATAGTATATTATTTTTAATCAATTAAATAAGAAAAATTAAAAATACAATCAGATATGTCATTTGATATATACCCAAGAGCTTCCTAGTAATTAGAACTCTAACTGAAAATAAAATAGAATAAAGGTCAGCAAATTACAGCCTGTGGGTTTACAACCCACCACTTGTGTTTTGTATAGAACATAAGCTAAGAATTTTAGATTTTTAGTTTTTTACATATTTTACTTTTTATATTTTTAATGGTTAAAAAAGCAATAGGATAACAATATTTTGTGACACGTGAAAATGTTTATACCTTCAAATTTCAGTGTCAATAAATAAAGTTTTATTGGAACACAGCCATGTTCTGGTATTGCCCTTGCCTTCTTTTACACTCCAGTAGCACACATTACGAAGGCAGAGTTGATTGATAGTTGCATCAGAAACCACATCTCACCACCTGACCCTTTACAGGAAAAGTTTGCTAACCCCTAAAATAGGATAAAAACATTAGGATCGTAGTAGATTTATTAAAATCTAAAAAAGAACTAGACTCACACTACTAATTAGGAAAACACAAACAAAAACCAGATACCTTTTCATACCCATCAGACTGATAAAAGATATGGACAAAAGGGAAATCTCATACACTGATGAGAGGATATACTGGTCCGACTACTTTGTAGAGCATTTGGCAACATCCTGGCAAGACAAGGCCATGCATGGCCTATGACCCAGTAACTCCACTTCTAGGGATACACCCCTGGAAAATTCACACAAGAAGACATTTATGAGACGTGTATTAAACAGTGCCCGGAGGAGTTAATAAATATGTTTATTAAAAGTTTCTTGTACATATATTAACTCCTCCAGGCACTGTTGTAATAAAAAACTTCAAATGTTTCTATAAAATTTTGTTTCTTCAAATAAGGTGTGAAGCATGTATGACATAATGGCTAACATCTGGTAACTCACCTAGCATTCTTTTCAGCATCTAAAAGAGCTTGTGCCAAATCCTTGTGGGCTTTCTCTGCTTCCTTTGTTAATTTCATATCATGAGCCCGAACCAGACACAGCTCCCTGAAATAAAGCAAAGAAATTTTATATTCATAGTTGAAGAGTTCCAAAAAGTTCCTACCCAGAAAATCCGATTTATACTCAGGAATCTTCTCAGTTATGTGTAAATCTCTTCCTAGTTTTTATACCTTATAAGCCAAATCAAGAAATCTAGTGTCCATTTGGATGGAATTCTGTCAGGCTTGACAATGGAATCTGGTTGGCTAGAAAGGGCAGAAAGATGATGTGAGAGATCCTCTCGAATAGAGAGAAGGCAGATGCTAACAGGCAAAGCCACCAGCTGCTCTATCCTACCCTCTGACATGCCTATCTTACCCTCTTCATTCTTGCCACGAATCATCTTGGCACAGATTAGAGGATCACTAACCTTGATTGCTATATAACACTTATCCTCTTTGGGATTTAAACCTTAACATCCGTAATCATGGCACTACTCTGTAAACATGACTAAGATCAACATCTCAGTCCTAGAAGGAGAACAGGAATCGCTTCCCTATCAAACATACACAGAGCCCTAGTTTCGTGTTAACCTGTGTAACCCAGTCCTTTCTGTCTCTTCCTAAAGCCCCAAAAAGAAAAAGAGTCCTCACTCTTAACCATTCTACTTTTCCTGTTTTTTCGTCTCTTTAGAGTCACAGTTTTGACTTGTGTTTTGTATTTAAGATAATCACAGATTTTACCTGGTCAGTTCTTCAATAACATTCTTAAAATTGTACAGTTCTTCTAAAATGCGCTGGTCCATCATTCGCTGAGTTACCAAGTCTTTGTAGAAATCAATCATCTGCCGGGCAATTTGGTCAAGCATTTGTACATACCGTTCTCTGCATGAGAAAGAAAACAAGGTTATCATGCAAAAAAAAAAAAGAAAAAAAGGAAAAAAGAGCGAGAAAATATATGAAAGAAAAAGTAATGTTAGGGAAAGAAATAGTAGATACTCATAAAAGATATGCAAGATGAACAAGATAGGAAAAGAAAGGGATCTAATATGTATATTCCTGCCATGCTCACACAAGCAAATGAACTGTGGAGGATTTTAACCAGAGTCATAATCATTTGGAATATAATGTCTGAGATGTAAAACAAAATGAGAACTTCTTTTATTTCTTCTTCTAAATTATATATTCTATGAGGATAGAAACCATGTCTTATGTATTTATATAGAATGGGATTTTTTATAATAGTTGAATTCATGAATAAAGCCACTTTCTCAAGTTGTTTAAACCCAAAAAGACACCAACTGTTCAAAAATGAATAAAGACCCTAAATTCAAAGAAGTCATTTCTTTCAGTCTGAATAAAACCAAATATTTGGAAGTGATCACAAATGATAAATTACAAATACCATACTGAGCAGCATTTGTATTAAAATTGATCCTGGTGTTATATCCTAAGCCTGAGACCACTGAATTATAATATCTTTGAGTTGGAATGGTCATTTAGTTTTGTTTTTTTTTTTAAAGATTTTATTTATTTATTTGTTAGAGAGAGAGAGTGCAAGCAGGGGGAGCTGCAGGCAGAGGAAGAGGGAGAAGCAGGCTCCCCACAGAGGAGGGAGCCTGACACGGGGCTGGATCCCAGGACTCTGGTATCATGACCTGAGTCAAAGGCAGACGCTTAACCATCTGAGCCACCCAGGCGCCCCTGGTCATTTAGTTTAATCTCTCACCCATAACAGAAAGAATTACCCAGCCCTTGCTTAAACGCCTAGAATTACAGAGAGTTTATCAGTTCGGTATGTAGTTCATACACTAGGAAGTATCAATTCTTTAAGACTTCCCTCCTGGAAATACAAGGACAAAATACTCTGAAGGGTCTTCTTATTACAATACAACTAGATCCATGACAGAGCATACTTTCTGAAGCATTATTGGGCTTGCAGGAAAAAAACAGAAGTCTCTAGGGGCGACAAACAAAAACAATAAATAAAATACAATATACTAAGAATGGAGTGGGAAATGGTAATCAGTATTCACCAGGCAAACCCAAGGTCATAGTTGCCCCAGTGAAAATAACAACACTGGGTAGGAAGGGTAAGATGGCAGAGTAGGAAGATTCTGAACTCACATCCTCCCCTGGACACACCAAGGCTGCAATTACGTACAGTACACCTTACTCTAAGACTAGAACACTAGCAGAAAAGTACTTCCACAGCTAAAGATATAAATAAAGGGTAGGAGGGGCAGAGATGCAATCAAGAACTAAACCCCTGATGCAGAGACCCACAAGCAGGAGGGATATCACAGGTGTGGAGGTTCCACACTGAAGTGCAAGGGGTTCAAGCCCCACACTGGGCAACCCTTGCCCTGGGGATCTGCACTGGGAAGATGAGCTCCCATAACATCTGGCTTTGAAAATCAGCAGGGCTTACTCCAGGGGAGCCAGAGGGTTATAGGAACCGAGATTCTGTTCTTAAAGGGCTGCCACATAGTAACCCTCACTCTGAGACCCAACACAAAAGCAGCAGTTTGAAAAGCACCTGGGCTGGAGTGAAGGAGATTTACTGACAAATTTTAGGGTGTGTGATGGAGGGACAGGGATCTACAGGAAATTTCTCCAGGAAAAAAAGTGCTGGTAAGCACTATTTATTTACTTATTTATTTATTTATTTAGTCTTCCTTCAGCCTAGATGGCCTAACACTGGTGGATGCCAGTTCTGACACTCTCCATTTATCTTGTTTGCACCTATGGACCCATCCCAGCATCCCCTTGCAGACCCATCCTGCCCAACCTGCCCACCCTGGCAACTGTGTCTTCCAAAGCCTCTAGTGTCCTGTCATGCCCAGCAGGTAACCTCAGCTAGGACAGACACTCCTCCAGAGTGACTCCTGCCCTGCCCCTGTTCTCATGCATGGCACGTGCTCTCTCTCAAATAAATAAATAAATAAATAAGACAGTTAAATACAAAGGGTGTTATATATAAACCTCATGGTAACCACAGGTCATGATCTCAGGGTCATGAGATTGAGCCCCGTGTCAGGCTCTGTGCTGGGCATGAAGCCTGCCTAAGATTCTCTGTCTCCCTCTCCCTCTGCCCCTCCCCTGCACAGATGCACATGCACACTCTCTCTTAAATAAATAAATAAATAAATAAATAAATAAATAAATAAATAGACTGTTAAATACATAGGGTGTTATAGATAAATCGCATGATAACCACAAACCAAAAACCTATAACAAATACACAAGAAATCAGAAAGAGAAAGGAATCCAAGCATAATACTAAAAAAAATCATCAAATTGCCAGAGAAGAAAGGGACAGAGAAGAATTATAAAAAGAACCAGAGGGGAGCCTGGCTGGCTCAGTCAGTAAGCATGCAACTCTTGATCTTGGGGTTGTAAGTTCAAGCCTCATGTTAAGTATGGAAATAAAAATAAAATCTTAAAAAAACAAAGAACCGGGATGCCTGGGTGGCTCAGTCGGTTAAGCATCTGCCTTTGGCTTGGGTCATGATCCCAGGGTCCCGGAATTGAGTCCCATATAGGGCTCCTTGCTCAGCAGGGAATCTGCTTCTTCCTCTGCCTGCCTCTCTCACTCTCTCATTCTCTCTGACAAATAAATAAAATATTAAAAAAAAAAAAAAACAAAGAACCAGAAACATCAACAAAATTGCAGTAAGTATAAACTTATCAATAATTAATATAAATGTAAATGGACTAAAGGTCAAAAGACATAAGGTAATTAAATGGATAAAAATAAATAAGATTCCTATATGCTGCCTACAAGAGACTCACTTTAAATATAAAGACATATGCAAAATGAGTGAAGGGATAGAAAACCATATTCCATGCAAATGGAAATAAAAAACCTGGGGTAGCAATAATTATATCACACAAAATAGACTTTAGAACAACAAACATAATAAGAGACAAAGAACAGCATTACATAATGATAAAGGGGATACAGCAATTTATTTACCAACAAATTCAACAACCTAGAAGAAATGGATAAATTCCTAGAAACATACAATCTTCCCAGAATGAATCAGGAAGAAATAGAAAATCTAAACAGATGAATTACTAGTAATTAAATTGAATCAATAAACAAAAAACTCTCAAAACCAACAGAAGTCAGGACCAGATTGCTACAAATGTAAATTCTACCAAACATTTAAAGACTTAATATCTGTTCTCAAACTATTCCAAAAAACAGAAAAGGAAGAATTGTTTCAAATTCATTCTATAAGGACCGCACTACCCTGATAACAAAACCAAAGACACCCAAAAAAAAGGAAGGGAAGGGAAGGAAAGGGAGGAAAAGAAAAGAAAAGAAAATTAGAAGCCAATATCCCTAATGAACAAAGATGCAAAAATCCTCAACAAAATATTAGCAAACTGAATTCAATAATACATTTAAAGGATCATTCACCACAATCAACTGCAATTTATTCCAAGGATGCAAGGATGGGTCAATATCCACAAATCAGTGTGATACACCACATTAACAAAATGGAGAATAAAAACCATATGGTCATCTCATTAAATGCAGAAAAATCATTTGGCAAATTCAACATCCATTCATGTGATAAAAACTCTCAACAAAGTGATATAGAGGGAACAAAACTCAATATAATAATGGCTATCTGTGACAAACCCACAGCTAACATAGTCAGTGGTGAAAAGGTGAAAGCTTTTCTTTAAGATCAGTAACAAGACAAGTGTGTTTACTCTTGCTACTTTTATTCAACACAGTACTAGAAGTCCTAGCCACAGCAATCAGACAAGAAACTAAAATAAAAGGCAACCAAATTAGTAAGGAAGAAATAAAACTCACTATTTGCAGATGACATAATACTATATATAGAAAACCCTAAAGACTCCACCAAAAAACTATTAGAATAAATGAATTCAGTAAATTTGCAGGATATAAAATTAATATATAGAAATATGTTGTTTTTATATACTAATAAGCTAGCAGAAAGAGAAATTAAGAAAACAATCCCATTTACAATTGCACCAAAAATAATAAAATACCTAGGAATAAATTTTACCAAGGAGGTGGAAGACCTATACTCTGAAAACTACAAGATATTGATGAAAGAAATTAAAGGTAACATAAACAAATTGAAAGATATACTCTGCTCATGGATTGAAAGAATTAATATCATTAAAATGTCCATACTGGGGCGCCTGGGTGTCTCAGTCGTTGGGCGTCTGCCTTCGGCTCAGGTAATGATCCCAGGGTCCTGGGATCGAGCCCCGCACTGGGCTCCCTGCTCGGCGGGAAGCCTGCTTCTCCCTCTCCCACTCCTCCTGCTTGTGTTCCCTCTCTCAACTGTGTCTTTCTCTGTCAAATAAATAAATCAAACCTTTAAAAATAAATAAAATAAATAAAATAAAATGTCCATACTGCCCAAAGCAATCTACAGGTTCAATGAAATTTCTATCAAAATACTAACAACAGGGGCTCCTGGGTGGCTAAGTCGTTAGGCATCTGCCTTCAGCTCAGGTCATGATCCCACAGTCCTGGGATCGAGCCCTGCGTTGGGCTCCCTGCTCAGCGGAGCCTGATTCTCCCTCTCCCACTCTCCCTGTTTGTGTTCCCTCTCTCGCTGTGTCTCTCTCTGTCAAATAAATAAAGTCTTTTTTAAAATGCTAACAACGTTTTTTACAGAACTAGAATTATCCTAAATTCATATGGAACCTTGAAGGACCCTGAATAGCCAAAGCAATCTTGAGAAAGCAGAACAAAGCTGAAGGTATCACACTCCCAGATTTCAAACTATACTACAATTTATTGGTAATCAGAACAGTGTGGTACTAGCACAAAAACAGACACATAGATCAATGGAATAAAACAGAGAGCCCAGAAATAAACCCACATT